GGATTTGTTGTTGGGGGGTTTAATTTTTTGAGTTCCAAGTATATTTTAGATATGAGACCCTTGTCCGTTGTATGGCTAGTAAAGATCTTCTCCCAAGGATTGGGACTCTTAAGATTCAGATGACCACACTGTGGATCCTCTGTGAACTCCTGTGTGCAGGAGTTTAGTAAACTGAGGCAGGATGGGTGGAATAATACTAAAAACTAGTAACTTTCAGAAATATAGACAAGTATAGTTATTGAAGAAAGACAGTTTAGAAGCTCTGAACACTATAACTTATTTTTTTCACTGAGAAAAATATTTTAATACAATGAAATATGATTATGTGAAATGAATATTTGAGAATGAAATTAAGTTTTAAATTTTGTATTTTTAAGTATTAAAATCAAGAAACTTTATAGATGAGATATACTTAAGTGGTTTCCTCTACGATACATGAAACTGCACACTGATGATTCAATCAATCATTTCATGATTATGTTCAAAAGTAATCTGTATATATCTCTCTTTTCAGTTAAATAAGCATTAAATTGACCACCACATTTATGAAAGACACTTTTTCACTGTAATCTAACCTCTAATCCATTCTGTAACAATACTTGAAGATTACATGGCTCCCTAGTTTGAAAATAAACATCTAACACTCTCCTCAGAATGGTAGAATTTCTTGAGACTCATATTCCTGATTAACTGTAAGCTACAATCTTATCATGACACTTTGGTAAATTTCTGTTGATGGATTGTAAAACAAGAAAGGAGTTAATTTAGAATTACTGTTGCTAGATTAATATGCAAAAAATTCCAATAATTCAATCACTTCCTGTCCTTCCTTCCTTCCTTCCTTCCTTCCTTCCTTCCTCCCTCCCTCTCTCCCTCCCTCCCTCCTTCCCTTCCTCCCTTCCTTCTTTGCTTTTCTTCCTGACAGGATCTGACCATGTAGCCCAGTCTGGCTTCTATCATCATCCTCTCTGGTGCTGAGATTAGAGATATGACTGACTATAACTTATTTTAGAAAAGCAATGACAGCTTCAAGGATTGTGTTCCAGGCCCTTAGAAGGATTGAGCTAGTTAATAATTGGATATTCAAATTCTCTTAACCCTAATAATTCATAGGTAATATTAGTTTGGCAACATTGTCTTGAAACTGTTGCTCTATATTCAGCCAGAAGATTGAGAATTTCAGGAACTTTATTCATTTGAGAACCAGGAATATTTTGGATCTAGGATTTTTATTGATGTCAGTTCTTCCTAAACCCCTGCAAGCTGGACATTAATTAACCATCAAGTTCTTTCATCTTATTCTCTCTTCTTATTTTATTGCAAAGTCAGAAGATACTGTATCAAAGTTACTAGCTAGTTTCCAAATTCTTCCTCCTTAAAATTCAACTCAGTTGTCATGATGGGCAAAAAACTTCAGTCCTTAAAAAGTAAGAGTGATGGTCACTGAGCTTTTTGAAAAGATATCTTTTAGTGTGAAGTTAATAGAAATGGAAATGGAATTTTGAAAGAAGAAAGGATTTCAAAAAAGGTATATCACTCAAGATCAGAAAGTGTAACTCAGGAAAGAAAGGAAGAAGTAATATCAACTGTGTTATAGTTGTGGATGGTTTGTATCTCCAAAAATACACACAGAATTTTTAAGATAGTTTTTGTTTTATTTTTCCCAGTACTGGAGCTTGAATTCATGGCCTCATGCTCAGCTCCTTCACTGTTGGCTAGCTCTCTACACCTCTGTTTCCAGCTTTGCTTAATGGAGACAAGAGTCTCATGGACTTTTCTACCTGGGCTGGCTTAAAACCATGTTTATTAGATCTTGGTTTCCTGAATGGCTTGAATTACAGGTATGACCTACTGGTGCCTAGCTACACACATAATTTGTAAGACAGGAGAAATGAGTTAAATTGGGATAAAAAAATTACTTAATGCAGTTTGCGAAATGTGCTATGATGTAGAAACACAGATGAAAATGCATAATGAATATTTTGTGTGTCGGTATTGGAGTTTGAATTCAGGGCCTATGCACAGTTCCTTTAGCTTTTAGCTCAAGGCTAGCATTCTACCACTTGAGCCACAACTGTATTTCAAGCAACATTTTGGTAGTTAATGGAAATAAAAGTCTCATGGATTTTTCTGTCTGGGCTGGCTTCAAACCACAGTTCTCAGATCTCAGCCTCTTGGGTAGCTAGCATTACAGGCATGAGTAATTAGCACCCAGCCATAATGAATTTTTAAATCCTTTGAGTAATATATGCGCGCGCACACACACACACACACACACACACACACACACACACACTAGATAGATAGATAGATAGATAGATAGATAGATAGATAGATAGATAGATAGATAGATAGATAGATTTCCTGACTCTTATACTAAGAAAATTGGTTATAGTTAGGGAAACAGATTCACATGGGCAAGGACCTAAATGAGTAATATCTCAAGTAAAAAATTTCAGAGAGGGTATATAAGAATGGACAGAGAAAATTCCAGGTTGACTTCAAACACAAATTTATAAAAAAAAATTTTGTTGTATTTCTTTTTAAAATTTCATAAACATACAGCTTACTTGAGATCTTTTTTAGTGTGTAAATAATTGTGAGGTTGAAGTTGAAATAGTTTGCTTAAGTCTTGCTACCATTGACTTTTCTTTTGAATACGTAAGGTACCTCTATACAAGCTAATTTTAATGATTACTTTTGTTTGACCTCCACCCTGAAGATGGCGATAGTAAGCTTTGAATTTGTCACCAGGCAGGCTGTAGGAAAATAATTTGCCAGATGTGAAGCGAGTCTGTCTTGTTAAAGTCACAATAAAATCTGTAGAGTTAACCGTACTCTGTAGTAAACATTGTCTACAAAGAATTCTGAAATAGCCTAGGTATATTTATTGTGCTTTAATTTGGGGCAATATTTAAGGATTATGGAGCTTTTTTAAAAAAAATATTTTTTTAGTATACAGAGGGGTTACAGTTACAGAGGGGTGATATACAGAGGGGTTACAGTTACATAAAAGTAAGGTAACTTTGTTGTTGTTATTGTCTTTTTTTTTTTTGTCAGTTGTGGGGCTTGAATTCCAGGCCTGGGTGCTGTCCCTCAGATCTTCAGCTCAAGGCTCGTACTCTACCACTTGAGCCACAGCTCTCCTTCCTGCAGCTTTTTATATATTCATAATTTTTTCTTTTTTTTTTTGTTTTGTGTAAGACCACAAGTAATGGGGATTTGAACACAGAGCTTGGCACCTGCTAGGCTGATAAAATACTGCTGAGCCATGCCTCTAGGTCTCGTTTTTCACTGGCCATTTTTAGGATAGGGTCTTGCTTCCTGGTCATGTAGGCGCTTATTTTTTTAAATTTTTTAAATTGTTATTATAAAGGTGCTGTACAGAGGGGTTACATAAGTCAGGTAAAGAATACATTTCTTTTTGGACAATGTCACTTGAGCCTCAGGTTGCCTGCTTTTAGGCTTCTCATTGCTACACTCACAAGCATGCCACTGCATCCAAAAGCTTTCCTTCCATAGAGAGGGAATATCATGGATTCTTCTACCCAGGCTGGCCTGGTACCTGGATACTCCCAATCTCAGCCTCCCATGTACCTTGGAATGATAGTAGGTACCCAGCCATAGATTGAAAAAGTGCCTAAAAATCTTTTCTGCCCTGGCTGGCTTTGAACCATGATTTCCTATTTTCAGCTTCCCAAGTAGCTACAATTGTAGACCTATGTCACGGTGCCTGGCTCATAAATTTCTTTTTGTTGGCAAGAATACTGCATTAATAACATAATTTTCTAGTGCTATACTCAGAAGTGTTCTTTATATCTTTCTAAAGTTCTGAAAGTATTTTTTTGCCATGGGGGTCTCATTACTAGGAAAGTAGGCCAAGCTGAGAATTGGTTTTGATTTAATCTCCAGTGCCCAAGTAGTAGGCTTAATGACAATACTTCCTACATCTTTTGCATACTTCCTATAAAATGGAAAATTTAAGAAGATTCCTTCTTTACGTACTCAAACGGGGTATGTTGGGGTCAAGGGGGGGGAAGGGGTAAACAAATGAAGAGGGAGAATGCAGTCAAGAATCCAATGTAGCTGGGTGCTGGTAGCTCACGTCTGTATTTCTAGCTACTTAGGACAATGAGATCTTATGATCATGGTTCAAAGCCAGCTGGGGCAGGAAAGACTATGAGACTCTTATCTCCAATTAACCACTAAAAACTAGAAGTGGCACTGTGACTCAAAGGAGTAGAGTACTTAAGCAAAAGAGCTTAGGGATAGCACCCAGGCCCTGAGTTCAAGCCCCATGACCAACAAAGAAAGGAAAAAAAAAGAATCCAATGTATATCCTACAAAATTAAGAAGAGTGAGGGAAAGGGTGGCTAGAAGAGGGATGGATAACAAATGTTGAAAGGGATGACATTGATCAAGCTACATTGTATTCATAAACTTCTTTGTTAATGGCAACTTATTTATATAACTACTTAAAGATAATAAATAGAAAAGCTAAAAAAACCCTTTTTTAAGAGGATCAAGAAAAGAATTTCTAAAAATGATTGTCCATAAGACTATAACTGAGGGGCTGGGAAGGTGGCTCAGTGGTAGAGTGCTTGCCTTGCATGCCTGAGGCCCTGGGTTTGATTCCTCAGCACCACATAAGCAAAAAGAAAAAAGCCGGAAGTGGCGTTGTGGCTCAAGTGGTAGAGTGCTAGCCTTGAGCTGAAGAGCTGAGGGACAGCGCCCAAACCCAGAGTTCAGGCCCACAACCGGACCCAAAAAAAAAAAAAAAGACTGAAAAATATTTGCATGAATATTACAGCTCTGAAAAGATCTGTAAAGGCCTGAAATTTCTGTTACTTTGAATAACTATTTCCTCTGTCTCATTGTTGAAATTATATTTTTTCTAATTGGTTTTTACAAGTATCTTAATACTTAGAACCCATAGAGAATCATTGTGAGTTATAAAGACTTCTGAAGGAAAAGGTTGGGGAAAACCCTGGACAGGATGTGCATCTGAGTTACTGCCCTCTGCTTGCAGGTGGAAGAGGAGCTACAGGAGCAAGACTTCTTGGACCGCTGCTTCCAAGAGATGCTTGATGAGGAGGACCAAGACTGGTTCATTCCAGCTCGAGACCTGCCTCAAGCCATGGGACAGTTGCAGCAGCAGCTAAATGGATTGTCAGTCAGTGACGGCCATGATTCTGAAGATATTTTGGTAAGATGTAGCTCCACAGATGATGTATAAGAAGAATATAGGGTTTGGAAATCACAGACTCTCAGATTTCTCTTGAGTTGCCCTGTCTTATCTCTGAGATAGGCATTAATGAAAACGTGCAATGAAAGGATGGACTACTCATCAAAGAGCCCAGGAAATAGTGTTGTTGCCAACATTACCAACTTTTATCTTCCCTTGGTGGATTTCTCAAAGGAGCTAGGATACAGGATAAAAATCTGATTCTTTTTTGTTTAGTTTCAAATGATCATTTGCGATGGTCCCTCTCTTATACTATCTGCATTATATACTATAGTTCTGAATGATTCTGTTCATTGTGGAAAGAAGATCGTCTCAAGAAGCTATTTTCTATTTAGAATTAAAACCTATAAGTGAATTTCCAGCCTCTATGTTCTATGAACTTTATATAGTTCTCATACAACTCATATTTTGAATAATTATGCCTGGAAGTTTGCCAAGATTTGGAATATTTTTTGTTTTTTTTTTTTCTTTTGGTTAGTCATGGGGCACTCAGGGCCTTGGCCATGTCCCTGAACTCACTCACTCTCTCTTTTTTTTTTTGGTTGGTCGTGGGGCTTGAACTCTGGGCTGGGTGCTGTCCCTCAGCTCTTCAGCTCAAGGCGAGCGCTCTACCACTTGAGACACAGCACCACTTCTGGCATTTTCTGCTTATGTGGTGCTGAGGAACAAACCCAGGGCCTTGTGCATGCAAGGCAAGCACTCTACCACTGAGCCACTTTCCCAGCTCCCCTGAACTCCTTTTTGCTCAAGGCTAGTGTTCTACTACTTTTAGCCACAGGTCTACTTTGGGTGGTTTATTGGAGATGAGAGTTACTTTCCTGTCCGGGCTGGCTTTGAACTGCGAACCTCAGATCTCAGCCTCCTGAGTAGCGAGGATTACAGATGTGAGCCACTAGCACCAGGCCAAAACTTTTTAAGTGGAGGGAAAAAATACAATTTGAAATTCAGCTTAACTTGAAATGTGTTATTTCTTGGTCCTTATTTCAGAGCAAAAGTAACCTGAACCCAGATGCCAAGGAGTTTATTCCAGGAGTGAAGTACTGAGCTGACAGAAGCTTTGAGAGGACTTATCTTTCCCCACATCTGGGGCTAGTCATGCACAAAACTGAAGAGGGGGGTGGGTGGGCAAGGGTGCACAGCAGGGGAGCAGAATAGTGGTTTAACTGGATACTGTGATCCTGAGTAACTCCTGTGCTCAGTCTTACTCTACAAACCTTTGTGTATTTCTCTTTTGTTCTACTGATTTTTGTTTGGAGCAGTTTCCTATTTTACTGTGTTTTTAATTGTCTCTTTTGAGTTAAGGAAATTGTGATTGTTTTTCCTATGTCAGGAGTAGTCTATTGTCTGTATTTAAGCAAAATAAGCTGACCAAGGAAAACTGGGTATTTAAGAAATACCTTTTTTATCCTACTGTATGCCTATCATGCGCAAGAAACACCTGAAGAGCTACTTCTGGAGTCTGTTAAGCTGGACGGTAAGAGGGACAAGTGGAAGAAACGAGTGGTGTAAATACGAATATGAAGCTCCCCAATCCTTGGAGTTTCTACAGTGAACTGGGATTAAACAGTGGCTTGCTGAGCTGGTGTCTGCCTGCCCTGAATCCCCCATTTAAGAAAACACAGACTTTAAAGTTACTTTAAAGTTCTTTGTTTATGGTACCTTTTGATGATTGATGAAAATGGGAAGGCTATGATGGTGATTGTCATGTGAATCATTTAGATGCTGTTGTCCTCTATTGTTAAGCCACAGTTTATAGCTACCATCAGATTTATCATTTACAAACTGAAAGAGACATTAGGTTGATTTACCACATTCACCCTGACAGTGTCTTATTCTGTCTCCTTTATACCTAACTGTATTTTTTTTTGCCAGAAACACTAACAGAGGTTTTTTGTTCTAGCAAAAGCCAGGAGAAATCATTTGTAATCCTGTTGTATCTTAATTTTTTTTAGACAATTTTTTTTCCAGACCTAATAGTTCTCCTGGTAGCTTAATTCCCTCAGAAAGGTTTCTGCACTGTTCAAGGATAGAGTCAGACACACAGACACAAGCAAACTCAGTTCCCTATTCAGATCCTTCTCCCTAAATAATTATGTGAAGTAACACAAAAACACCCTCTGGGTCCTGCTTGACTCACATGACAAGGTACCAGACCCTCTGGGATATTTAAAGTTATTATTACCAAGTTTTTTCCAGTTTGCTAAGTTGACTCTAGATGTGCTTCTTTTGTCCTATCTGTTACTAATTCACTAGGGTTTCTTAGCAGGTCTTTGGTTCCAAGGGCAACACCACTGAAGACAAACTGAGAATGCTCAGGATTCATAAAATTCAGTACCATACTGCAAGATGTTTGGTTACTTTTTCCTATAATGCTTCCCAACTTCAGTGAAGACATACAACTGTTCAACAAACCTAAAATTTTCATTTTATCACCTAAGTACATTAACATTTCCCTTGCTTTGGGCGTACCATTTGCTTTTGGGGAGGGCTATTTTCACAAAATTCAAAGCAAGAAAACAGTAGATCACAGAACAAACACAACTGATGATGACATGGACTGACTTTTTTTTTGTTTGCAACTGAGCTGTGTAATATGCAAACAGGAATTTAAATTTCATTTGGGGATTTCATTTTATTTTTTGACAGGCTAGGAGAAAGCCACTTAAAGTAAACCCATGCATAAGGTAGGTTTGCTGTACTCCTGAGGAATTAAACTGGGCACCAGGAACTTTGTAAATGGCAATGTGTGAAAGAGAATGTGTCTAGTAATGGTCATTCTCCCAGGCCAGGGACTATAGGGGCCTGAGGATGCAGTTGCTTCTGTATGACCTGCTACTGTGCTGTGTGATGGGTCTCTAAGGTAAGACAATGTAACTTGAAATAAAGTCAGAGTAAATTCAGTATGTGGATGTGGGACAGAGGTGGCAAGGACTAAGGGTCTGGAAAGCTGAAGAAGTTCTTTTTTTAATATGAGCTCCATTGTTGACTTTTTTGGGGAAGGAAGAGGGGCTAGTACAAGGGATTGAACTTAGTACAAGGGATTGCTAGACAAGCACCCTGCCCATAGCCTTCCTCATTAGGTAACATGTCATAGGAAAGTCGCTTAGGGAACTTAAGAGTGTATTATAAGCATATTAATTCCCAAAGCCTCTACCTCGAAAGAGTGAAACTGTTAACTCTTTTTCAGAGAGGAGTCTGAATATAGAAACCTTGTTATTAAGGAAAGGGTGTTAGCAGTGCATAAGTACAATTACCTGTCCTGGGGCTGCTGCTATTGGCTGCAGTCTCCATTAGCCTGCCCAAGCTCAGAATGCTGAAGGTTGTTGGAAATGTGTCTGGATTGTTAAGAAGAACCTTTGTTAAGACCCTGGGAATCTCCGTGACAGAGTACAATGTACTCATTTGGCTACCCATCTGAAAAGTCTTACAGGAATCTAGCCATTGCTCCATCCTGATCTTTTGATGCCTGAGTAGGCTTATCTCACCCTCTGCTGTGCTGGCCTATTCCTTTTATATATTTTTGGATGTCTTTAGCATGGTTTCACTATATGTATTTTGTCTAGGAAAATTTTGCCAGATGAACATGGGATCTGAGGGCTGAAGTTTTGAGTCTCACTCAGGTGCAGTGTGTGCTGACTCCAGGCTTGGAAGCATGCAGCAAAATGCTCTTTTGCTTAATGTGTTAAGCATTTCTACATTCAAGAGCTCCTCCTGTGGCCCAACTCTATCATCATCTATTTTATGTTATGAGTTGGGAGTATAATTATCCCCTAGGCCAACAGGTCCAGTCTTAGTTGGGAGTTTATCAGCTTCTTAGCAGAAAAATTCTCTGGGTCTTCATTAGAGAAAGACTGGGTGCCTCTGACTTTTCCTTACAGGTTCTGGGTACAAGCCAGGCTGAACACTTACATTTTCATGTCAAGTTTTGTATTTATAAGTGATAATGTTGATGTCGAATTTAAGCCGCTACTCTGTTCAGATTTTTTTTTGGCAGTTTGAGAATTTGTATGGAAATGGAACATGTATGTTTAACAGTTGTCAATCTGACTGGTCCCAGTATTCGTTTATTTAGTGATTTCTGATCACTGTGATTGTTCCAAGTATTTATTTGATTCTGAAACTGCAAAGTAGAAGTATAATTTCTCTTTAAAGAGAAAAAATTATTAAGGTAATGCCTTTTCAGTTTCTCCAAACCTTTGAACTGCAACAGAAAATGTAAGGGTATAGTCTAAGCCTGGACACATGCAGTTCTGGGTCTGGGGCTGTTCTCTCTACAATAGTTGACTTTTGGAAATCATATATAATCAAACCAGAAAAAGACTATAAAGATAAGGCTGGATCTGTGTAGTACCTTTTTGTTTTCAAAATCACAACAGCTGGGATCTCTTTAAGGTTATAATGTTAACTATGGTTTACAAATAAAAGTTTTTAGTGAAATATCAAGCATCCTTTCCTAGATTGTTTATTCCTATAATGTCAAAGTTTTGTCTTGATTTTAAAGAGGCTGAGAAGGAGGCTAGTAAACACCCTGGTAATGAACACATTAGAGAAAAAATTGTGAAGAGCTCACCAAAGGGAATCCCCTCAAAGAATCTTGGATTAGAGCTGTTGGAAACACTAGACAGATGAGTGACTTCCTGTGTTCCTGAATATCCCTCTTTGTGATTGAAGGGGCAAGCCCCTTCAATAAAAGTCTTGGTATTATAAGCTAATGATATTTCTTGGTTTAGGTGGTGCTGGGAGTGACAATCTATAGAGATTTGACAAGTTTGACTAGGATTTGGCGATGCCCACCTGGTAGAAGACTCTGCTGGGAGAATGTCAGCTTTATTAGTTTGGCAAGTAGGTAGCAAGAACAGGAGGCTTGACCCTGACTTGTATGTAGCAAGGACCTTCATCTCTCCTGCCTCTGCATATAGCTTTCTGCCTGTGTGAATTTTTTCACCTCATTTTGCCCCTAGAGATTGTGAGTTCCCTAGTTACTTTTTGTGTCAGGAAGAAGTTCAGTCTTTCCCCCATTATTTCTCCCAGGCTGCAGTTGCTATGGGTGACAGGGACAGAGAAGCAGCTCTATTACTGAGTGCTACTTAGCCTTCAGTCCTCACTGCCCAACCCCTACTGCTGTTCCCACTCAGCTTTTTTTTTTTTCCTGGTCCTGGGGCTTGAACTCAGGGACTGAGCCTCTGTGCTCAAGGCTAGCACTCTACCACTTGAGCCACAGAACCACTTCCAGCTTTTTCTGTTTATGTGGTACTGAGTACTCAAACTCAGGGCTGCAAGGCAAGCACTAAGTAAGCCCCATTCCCAGCCCTGTCAACCTCATTTTTAAGGAAGTCATGAGAACCGGACTTGATATGCTGATCTCTGTGGTGCCAAGAGATTCATACTTCCTGGGCCTATGACACGGGGACAGATATGCACAATCTTTTAAAGGTTTTTGTTTTGTTTTCTTATTTGTAAAAAGCTCTCAGATTTTGTTGGTAAGAGTGCTATTTGGACTTGCTAGTTCACTCCAGGTAATCCTAGCTCATCAGGAAGCAGAGATCAAGAGGATCACAGTTTGAAGCCACTGGAGCAAAAAGTGAGACCTAGCATCTCAACCAATAAAAGCTAGATGTGGTAGTAGATGTAGTTCATGCCATGTCAGCTACATAGGAAGCACAAGTAGGAGGGTTGTGGTCCAGGCTATCTGGGGGTACTAAACCAAGACCTTATTTGAAAAATTAACTAAAAATGGCTGGGTTGTGCCACAGTGGTAGAGCACCTGGCTAGTAAACTCAAGGCCCTGTACCACACACACAAAAAAGAAAAAGTAATTTTCAACACTTGCTGAGCATTTCTTCCCTAGGTCTAGGTTCTTGCTGGGTTTCTCTTTTTTAAATGCAAAAAGAAACATTCAGCCAGGCACTGGTGGCTCAACACCTATAATCCTAGCTACTCTTGAGGCTGAGGATCTCAGTTCAAAGCCAGCCTGGGCAGGAAAGTTGGTGAGACTCTTATCTCCAGTAAATAGCGCTGTAGCTCAAGTGGTAGAGCGCTCACCTTGAGCTGAAGAGCTCAGGTGCCCAGGCCCAGAGTTCAAGCTCCACAACTGGGGAAAAAAAAAAAAAAAGAAGAAAAAAAGATGCTAAGCTATTTAATACTACAAAGAAAAATAACTTTTCATTTTGGAGTGCTGGGGATTAGACTCAAGGATTTGAACACTATTTCTGAGCTATGTTCTTGACTCCTAATACATATTTTCTAAAACTAATGTCACTTTAAATCTATACTAACAGAGAATCCTTTTCTGCTGATTGTGAGCCTTTAATAATTCACCCAAAATATGCCTATCAGTGATTTAGTAACTTTCTTCAGTCTTAGAATGTTGGAATGAGAAACTTTATACTCATTTATTCATTGTTCCTACCCCAGCTCTAGGTACCACTTTCTGTCTCTACAAAAATCTACCTTTTCTGGACATTTCATATCAATAGAATCATATACTGTGTAGTCACATGTTCCACTCTTTTCATTCAGTGTTATATTTGACTTGTAACTTGTTTTGGAGTTGTATCCCTTTGATGGATAGGTTACATTTTCTGACCTGAGAGCCTTTAAACATGGACTTTTAATTCCTGTGGTCTGAATCAAACCCTCCAAACAGGAATGGAAGCTGCTGTGTTAAAGGAACTACTTTTCAGAACCAGATTTGTCATCGGTTCCACAGGAATCTTACTTGCTGCAAACATTTTTATAATTTGCAACTTTTTAATCAATTTTTTGTACTACCTACTATACATCAGGACTTTTGACTCATCTGATAAATCCATTTAATAATTATGAGTATCTGAGTGAACAGGAAGTGGAACCACCAGGGCTGTGGTTTCTCCTACCCCAGACTGGAGGAATCTGATCTAATTACAGCGTCCTCTCCATTTGCAAAGCTGTATGTATTACAGGTAGATATATGTGATATATGTGGCAAGGAGGAGAGCCTATGGCAGAGGAGATGGGCAGTAGAGCCCACAGTGCACAGGCAACTGTTGAATGTGCTTTTGAGGGAAATGTTGATGGTTCCTGGGCTCTTCCAGCCAACTCAGGTCAAGACTTTGGACCCTTGTTGGACAAGTGTTTGTTTCCTCCTCCTAAACATTATATGCTAACTAACTTCTGGATGAGGGACAGGCCTTCAAAGTTATAAACCAAATGGCAGCTGTTGAAAATCTCAATAAAATGCATTTGCTAGCAGTGATCCTTTTCTAAGGTTAGGTCACTTTCACTATATTATAGGGGATTTGTGTGGTATGAAAGATTTGTCACAAAATGGATCCACACAGTTGAATTGCTTTCCTTCCAAGTAGGATTATGAAGTAGTAAAAGCATGGGCTTGGGAGACTGAGCGAATCCCACTTTCACTTTCTTTGGTCTGAATCTATGTCTCTGTTTGTAAAGGTGTGATACCCTCACAGCTGCTATGAAAATTAGAATTTTTAAATATTGACTGGCATGTAAAGGCACTTACTAATAGCAAGTAATAGAAATATGTTTTGAATCAAAAGATAGTAAAAAGGGAATCCTTGGGCTAGTAGGCAAACTATATAGTTATTTTCCTGTTGGGGAAAAGCCAGCTCCTACCTAAACAGATTTCATATCTGCTTTACCCCACTCAACTATGTGCTATGTACCAAGCACAATCTTAGACCTTTGGGCTCCCAGATTAGTAAGATGCACAGGCTGCTACTGAGGTTTGTTTAGAAGTTTGTGCTTATTCCAACTTAATACTTAACTTGAAATCTCCCAGTCATTTTGGAGGCTTTATCATATAGCCAAAAGATCATGGACCAGACTAGGGACCAGACTAGAATTGGCTATTACTACCTTTTTCCCAAAACAAGGAAGAAAACTGAGCTGACTTGCCCACTTAGAACTGTTTGAAATATTATAGCTAGGGTGAATGTAGGGCTGTATAACCCTTGAAGTTCTGGACTGTGGGCAGTTTTTAAATGTCAATAAATGTAATTGAATATATTGAAGTGCAGATATTTTTAAATGCTGTCCCGAGACTGCAAAGAATTTTTTTTTTTTTTTTTTTTTTTGCTAGTCCTGGGGCTTGAACTCAGGGCCTGGGCGCTGTCCCTAAGCTTTTTTTTCCCAAGGCTAGCACTCTACAACTTGAGCCACAGCGCCATTTCTGGCTTTTTCTGTGTATGTTGAATCAAAACCAGGGTTTTGTGAATGCTAGGTGAGCACTCTACCACTAAGCCACATTCCCAGTCCTGATGTACTGATTTTTTTTTTTCTGGTGCTGGTCCTGGGGCTTCAAGACTAACACTCTACCACTTGAGCCACAGCTTCACTTCCAGCTTTTTGGTGATTAATTGGAGATAAGAATCTCACAGACTCCTGGCTGGACTGGCTTCAAACCATGATCCTGAGCAGTTAGGATTACAGGAGTGTACCACTAGTGCTCAGCTCTCATTTTTAATTCTTAGAGCATTCAGCATACCTAAGACAACATCAGCTGGATGAACCAAGACTGCCATCCATGAGACCACAGGTATGTGGGAAACAGTGCTGGCCTCCAAGTCCAGTGCTTACTGCTCTTGCCTTCTAGGCTCAGATGCAGGTGGCGCAGAATCACATGAACTGCTCCTGATATTGTTGGGAGAAGGAGAATACAGTTAGTTTAAAGTGGGCATAACAAATATTTTTCTGTACCACAATTTCTTGTAAGAGTCTTAAGTGGTACAACTTGTGTAATAGAGCCTAAGTGGAGAATAAGTAACCTTATCACATGTTATCCAGAAACAAATGTGACTATATCTAAAGCTGTCTTCATTTGGGGGGGGCTGGGAATATAGCTGAGAGGTACAGCCTGGCATATATGAGGCCATGGGTTCAATTCCCAGCCCTGAAAAACAAAAATGCTTCATTTTCTTCAGCTAATGGTTCTTCAATACTCAGGTACAGGGGCACTTTCAAAAGCCAAAACATGTGCTTTTTACTCTGTTCCTTCAGTGTCCAATTGCAACTGTGAAGTCTACACAGTAATGAATGTCATTACCTGAAGAAATTAATAGCTTCAGTATTTACACTCTTACACTATTTGAGCCTAGACCTGAAAACATGAGAAATATAGATATACAAAAACTACCAAGCTTACAACTTAACTATATTAAGTCTACAGGGTACAGCAATGACACCCCTGTTGTCCTTGTTACCTGCAAGCTTTTTGCCAGGTGAGGTCCTATAGACTGCTGAGTGTTGGCCCCTAGCTTGGTCAAGACTAGATGTAAACATTGGAAGCTGTCACTTCAGAATGGCCTTAGCTTAAGTTCTAATTGCTCAAAGTACCAGTTCACTGCATGGGTCGAAACTGAAGAGCCTTGACCATTGTGTTCTGTATGTTACTTTGTGTCACCTGACTTGGCCAACAAGGTTGTATCCAAGACCTTTAATAAGACCTGGTCAGGAGTCAAAAGCTGTAAGATAAAGCTACCTCAAGTACAGATGCTTACATTTGCAGTAATAGTTACCCAAGTGATTTAGCAGAAAGGAAAATTTCTAGCAAGACATTGGGTACATGACTATGCTTCAGGTACTTGGGAGGCTGAAGCAGAATGACTGCTTGGGCCTAAGAGTTAAGGGTTTCCTGAGAAACACAGTGACCCCCCTCTCTTAAAAATAAAAATCCCCCACCTACCCTACTCATCCTTGATCTGTTGAATCAAACATCCTGAGGTGTAGGGGCAGGGCAGAAGACAAAAGCAAATTTTAAATTCTAGAATTGATGTACACATTTGAGAACTGATGTCCAGGATATGGCCATACCTTCTAATAGCTTATCGTCTTGATCCCTGTGGTTGTAGCCACTGTGAATCAAAACTATCTTTGGGGCTGGGAAGGTGGCTCAGTGGTAGAGTGCTTGCCTTGCATGTATGAGGCCCTGGATTCCATTCCTTAGCACCACATAAGCAGGAAAAAAAAAGCCGGAAGTGGCACTGTGGCTCAAGTGGTAGAGTGCTAGCCTTGAACTGAAGAGCTAAAGGACAGCACCCAGGCCCAGAGTTCAGGCCCCACAACTGACAAAAAAAAAAAAAATCTTCATTCTTCAAGAAGCACAGGCAGAACAGGAAGCTTTAGACCTGTCTTCACTGATTACACTACAGAAGCCAGGACAGAAATCATATCTACTCTCTACAGATGTTCATCACTCCCAGGACCACACAACAAAAACAGTCTTGTGTAACCAGTAATCGGTAGGTGGGCAGGCCACTTGAACAGTGCCTAACTGGCCTTTCTGGATCTCAGCTGCCCTCATAAATTTTCAAGAGTTCATTAATTTGAAAAACTGCAGTTCCTGGTTACCTACAAAATCCAGTGAGGTTAAAAAAAAAACTCTCCAAGCCAGGCATGGGGTCTTAAGCCTATAATGCTAGCTACTGGGGAAGCAGAGATCAGGGAATCATGGTTCAAAACCAACCTGGGTATAAACTTCAGTGGACTCCATCTCAATCTATGACTGGCATAGTGGCGTGCACCTGTTAGCCTAGCAACCAAAAGAAGCACAAATAGGAAGATCACACTCCAGGCAAGCCTGGGCATAAAACAAAGCCCTAGTTTCATGATCCTGAACCAATACAAAAAGGGAATACTAAAGTTGCTCAAGGGGTATAACCTGCTTATTTAGCAAACACAAGGCACTGAATTCAAACCCTAGTACTGACAAAAAAAAATCTCAGAGGCTAGAACTGTACTAACTTCTATAGCCTAGGTAAGAGTCTCAGGAGAGGGTGTGATACACATTGAAGGTTAAGGTTCTGAATGGAGACCACTGAGTTCCACCATCTGGTAAGTCAGGAATCATTCCTTACTCTGACAGGAAACATGACAGGTTACCTGAAGCCATAAAGCATATGGTGTAAGGCAATAAGGATGTACTAGATTGCATAAATTACCTGCCCAAGAGTGTGGTGAGTGACACAGATCATCGACCAAGCATTTAGAAATAAATTCAGGACAAAATAATTCCTGAGAATGCTGGGATACCTCCTTGAGGTGCACTGAAGATGTACACAGTGAGGGTGCTTGATAACACAATCCAACTGGGTTTGTGGGAGTAGGTAAAGTGCTTTTATTTTCTATATGTGGTTGAAAAGACACCTCCCTTCCAACACCCAATGTCCACTGAGTTTGGGGCAGGTGGAGCCAGGGCAAGCCCCCTAGGAGAAGGTATAGGAGTAGAAGGCAACAGCATTGACCTTGTAGTCCATGGGGAGGAGGTATCCAATGTGCCTAGCCCCTAGGCTGGCACCCCCCAGGGCAGAGGAGTGCCTCAGCTTCATCAGGGTGAAGCTGGAGAAGGAATTCTGAGCCTGGATCTCTCGGCCTTGGGTCAGTGCCAAAAGGAAACCTGGAAAACAGGAAGGTCAGAATGAGAAGAGACTGGCAGTCAATGTGGGGACCAACAGGGAGGAGAGAACAAAGATTCCAAGAGATTTCTCTGAAGAGGCCCATTAAGTCCCCAGTATTCAGGAAGCACCAGGACACAGGGACCCAGTAATAGCTGTAGGTTCTGGATCCAGAAACCTGAGGGACCTACCTCCCTCTCAGCTCCAAAGCCTGTGGAGTTGGGAACTTCTTAATATTGGGAACTTAGATGACAGTCCTTGAGCTACTTCAGAATGCCTAGTGGAAGCCATGTAAATGCCTGAGACAATGCTGCCAGACTTAGAAATCAAGTTAATTTCCTTCTGGCCAGAATGATGTTGACTAGACACATCATGGAGAATTATCACATTCTAAGCTAGATTTGACCTTGATCTTTAAAAGGTAATTAGTAAATTATTTAGAATGTGACATCTTTTCAATCGTTCAAGAGGCTGAAGGTATAGCTCAGTGTAGAGCACATACATAGTATGTACTAGCCATGACTTCAAACAGTTCAAGAAAGGTGGACAGGACAGAGTAAAATGGCTCAATGGCAGTGAAGGCTGAATGCCCTAACCTGGGGCATCAGTGGCCCACCTAGGATGCAATTCCCAATGCTCCCTAGGATATGCAGGTTTCCCAGGGCCCTCTCCAGCCCATCCAACCCCTCCGTCCCCTATACTCAGGCTTACCTTCCTTCAGCAGCTCCCAGCTCTTCCACACAGAGCCCACACACAGGATGGGGAGGCCAATCTCCCCTTGGAATAAGACCTGGGCAGAAGACAGAAAATGGATGCTGTGGGCTGAGCAAGCCAATGAGTAGCTTCCTAAGACCAATCTTCTCCTCTCCGACACCCTCCCTCTAGCTAAGAAGCAGAGGGAGGAAAATAGTCATAAAGGGAGGAAAAAGGAAGATACAAATTGAACAACAGAGAGGATAGAAGGGAGGGGAATGGACAGAAAGGACAGAAAAACACATTAAATCAATTTGCTAAATATAAACACACATTTAAGACTGATTCACAAAAAGGAGTCAGTTTTGTGTTTGAGACAGAATTTTTTTCTCATATCCTAACATAGTACCCAATTTACACAGGGCTTAATGGATGGTCCCATCAACAAAGGAAAGAGCCAAACCTAGCTAGCAGCTGCCCATCTTGCTCCCCACAACTCACCGGGTCAATCTCAGGCAGCACTGCTACAACATGTCTTCCCAGCATCTCCCCAGCCTTCTTGAAGATGTAACGGGAAAGAGGGTCTCCCTGATGTGCACCTGGGGCAGGGAGGAAGGAAGGTGGCTGGAGAGTGCCTAGGAGTGGTCTGTCCTGGGTTATTCTCTTTATGTGGTAAAGCAGCAACCTCAGGAGCACTTGTAGCTAGTAAAGTCTAGATCAGGATGACTGCATGCCTCATAACTCAGGGTTAAGCAAGTCTCACTGCCACCTCTCCATTTTCCCTAGATAGGTACAGGGTACCCGGTGCCAGAGGTGGCTCACCCCACTGCCCCCACTAGAGCACCTGGGCACTGGCATTGGACTCTAATAATGCTCATATTGCATTTCTATGAGTCTCTCAGTTCTGAGGACTCAGGACTCTGGCTGAGAACAGCAGGCTAACATCCCTATTAGTACCCTACTTACCTCCAGTTGCTGTTGGTCTGTCCTTTCCTGACTCAGTGCTGTGAATAAAAACCTCATTCCCAGCATCTAAGAGAGCCTTAGAATCCCCTTAGGCTAAGGTATTTAAATGAAGGGAATGTGGCCTTTCCAGAGGAGAAAGCAATGTATGGGCCTGTAAATTCTATGTTGGGCTCTCTTTAATCCCCTAGTTCTTTAGGTATAATCAGTTTAAAAAGAAAAAGTTACGTGTCCAAAGGACAAATTCATAAATTTCTTAAAAACAGGAACGCAGTTTACACAGGCCATGAGAACTATCATAGAGAGAAAGGAAGGTATTATAAAACTATTGTCAGTACAGTGCACTTGTCCTTCAGCCTCTCAAGGTTCTTGCCACGAATAAAAGCCTAGGAGCGAGGTAGCAGAACACTGAGGCCACCTGATGAGAGAGAAACTGGCATCTAAGCCCCATCTGAACCCCATTCTACGCACTACTTAGGGATTTTTAGGGAACTGCCCTGACACCAGTACCTTCTGCAATTTTCCGGCAAAACCCAGCAAACCTGCTTTTATCAAAGTCTCTATACAGATGAGTGAGGATTCCTAGCCGATCTGGTACCTGAGAGACGAGAAAGGAGCACAAGACAGTCAGGAGAAGCAAAAATCTCCAATTTGTTCACCCTAGTTGTCGTCCTAATATCTCTACATTAGTTTTTGGAGCTGTGTTTCATTAGGTCTAGAAAGTGTAGAGATTTGAGATTTCTCACGTGAGAAAAGTTGTGATTTTTCCCAATTCAGACTTCACTGCTTACTAAAGACTAAGGCAGCAGAATACAGATCTGTGTTCATCAGAGTGTTCAGAATTTCCTGAAACATTCTGGGAAAGAGTTATTTTAAGGAATCTAGGGACTGGGCATGTGGTTTAGTGGTAGAGTGCACGAAGCCCTAGGTTCAATTCCTCAGTACCACATAAACAGAAAAAGCCAGAAGTGGCTCAAGTGGTAGAGTGCTAGCCTTGAGCAAAAGAAGCTCAGGGACAGTGCCCATCCCCTGAGTTCAAGACCCAGAACTGGCAAAAAGAACAAGAACAAAAACAAAAACTAAGGAATCTAAGGAAAACACACAAGGCAATTCCCCTAGAGTCACAATACACATTACAAATCAAAGGCTCTGAGAAGTACTGCAACCAAGAAAAAGAGTCACTTCTCCCAAACTCCAGAAGAGGTCTTTTAACAAATTTGCACATCCATAACTAAGTCCCCCCCCACCACCACCATAAGGCACCAGGGATTCACCAGAATACATTTTAGGGAGGGGCTAAAATTTGAAGATCCAAGATCCACAACAATGTAGTATCTCCTTTACAACCTTATAGAAAGTACTAAATGGTATTAAGAGCAACTGATGGACATAGTAATGGACAGTTTTGACGCAACTGGCTGAGTCAGGACAACTTCATTGCACTTTCCCTTATTGCTTTCCTAGGTACAGGCCAGGGTTCCTCTTTAATCACCAACCCTCAGCTCTGAGAAGAAAGGCCCTCCCTTTCAACATCTTCAATTTCCTATGTTAGCCCTAGTCCTACCTTTTCTAAATGGCTGAACAAAAGACTAGCTGTCAAGCAGAGACGCTATCAAATGAGCATATGTTCCTTCTCTCCCTCTTACCTCTGGCTCCACTTGAAAGCCGTGGTTTCTCCTAATCCATTTCAAATGAATACTGCATAGTCAACACCTGATGCCCTAAGTACAGGCTGTTCTTTCCTAAAGTCTCCTTGCACACCTTTTGCTGTGTGTATGCCAGTCTTGGAGCTTGAACTCAGGACCTGGGCACTATCCCTGAGGGTTTTTTCTTGTTTTTTGGGTTTTTTTTTTTTTTTTTTGTCGGTCATGGGGCCTGAACTCTGGGCCTGGGCACTATCCCTCAGCTCTTTAGCTCAAGGCTAGCGCTATGCCACTTGAGCCACAGTGCCACTTCCAGCCTTTTCTGCTTATGTGGTGCTGAGGAATCAAACCCAGGGCCTCAGGCATGCAAGGCAAGCACTCTACCACTGAGCCACCTTCCCAGCCCCTATCCCTGAACTTTTGTGTGCAAGGTTACTGCTCTACCACTTGAGCCACCAAAAAAAAGCCATTTCTAGTTTTTGGTTTTTAATTGGAAATAAGAGTCTCACAGACTTTCCTGCCCAAAATGTTTTCAAACCTCAATCCTCGATCCTTCCTGCAAAGCTAAGACTACAGGCATGAGCCACTGGCACCAGCCTGCCCACCTCTTAACAGGCTTTCATAACCCAATGCATTTGTTCAGACTCAATGCTATCTCTGCCTCCCAACCTCCCCATGCAGGTTTCATCTTAGCCCAGACCTTCTGCTGTGCCCTCCCAATAGGTTTTAGCTGCCCAAGAAGGAAATCTGGCTAACCACTTATCAAATCACATCTTCCTCATGACCCCTTTCTGGAATGCACTTTTCACATTTCACATCTGACCCTGACCCCTGTTGTTACCTACAACCTCTCCACCCCACATCTCTGAATCTCTGACCCACCCTTAGCTCATTCAAGTACTGTTCTACAGTCAGTTCCCAGTGTTCTATTCCAGGTGTTCACTCGGAGTAGGTGAGTACCTGAAAATAGTTGAACATAGCCTGTTTGACGTAGCCAATATCATGAGGAGCCGCCTCCAGGTTGTCTATGGAATCAAACACTATTTTCACAGCTTGGTGTGCAATCCAGTAGGCTGCAGAAAGCAGAGAAGGATATTAGGGAAATCTCTCGAGGGAGTTTACTCACCAGGAAAAAAAAAACACACAGACTAAGACAAGGTCAGTGGTCTGCTTTGATTTTACAGCAAATTAAGTTTCATGATTCAATTACATTGTATCTGACTGACCCAGGTAAGAAAAGCTGGAGAGGAAAAACAGAACATGTGAACCAGTATCATACCAGTTCCTACTCAAAGACATTGGTCAGCTGTACAAACACCAGTAGTCATGGCATAAACTGGGACCCAAAGGCCCCTATGGAAATGTATATGGGCTAAACATAATAAAGGTGGGAGATGTGGTTCTATACCCCTTTGCTACCAGGAGACTTGTGTGGCATCTCCTGACACCTATGGGCTTTACCTTCAGATTCAACTCTTCCCCAAGGTCTCCAAAAGTCTGTATAGGCAGCATAGCCATAATGCTGAAGCATGAACCTGAATTCTGGGTCAAGACACTCCTGAAGAGCAAGGTTAGTGGTCAACCTAACATTCATATCTCTATGACAATCATTATCCTGCACTTGGAATGGTCACGGTTAAGCTCTCTCCCCAGAGAGCCCCAGGAATTAGCAGGCAGTGGTAAGATATGGAGAACTGCAGGACAGGAAGAAGTCCATGCCGCTGAGCCAATACCAGTGTGACTCACCTGAGCCCTCATCTCCCATCATGTGGCCCCAGCCACCACAGCCACTCTCAGAGCCATCCGGGTTGATGAGCCTGCAGTTGGAGCCTGTCCCAGAGATGAGCACAATCCCACCTGGAGAAAGGGCACAGGAGGCTCAATGAGGCCACAGCCCTACATATAGCAATAGATTCCAACTGAAAAACCAGGACAGAAAGAACCCCTCCAACCAAAAAAGAAAAACAGATCACCACCCAATCTCAAAGAGGAGCAGCCAGGTGCCAGTGGCTCTAGCTACTCAAGAGGCTGAGATCTGAGGACTATAGTTCAAAGCCAGCCCAGGCAGGAAGTCTGAGACTATCTCCAATAAACCACCAAAAAGCTGGAAGTGAAAGCGAGCTATAGCTCAACTAGGAGAATGCTACCTTTGAGAAAAAAAAAAAAAGCTCAAACAGTGCCCAGACCCTAATTTTAAGCCCAGAACCAGCACAAAAAAAAAAAAAGAAAGAAAAAGAAAATTTGAAAAATCAAACAAATATAAGAAAACCAAACCACACTAGCTTCCAAAGGGGAGCGCTTTGATCTCAGACAAACTCCAAGAGGACTGTGCCTTCTTAAGAGAATGTAGCTCCTTGTCTAGTCAGTGTTCAGGTAACTCTCATTGCTTTACTGAGTGCCTACTGTGTGCCAGATTGTGCTAAACTCTGTTCTTACAGTGATCATCAGTACCCGAAAGTTACTTTATGAATACAATTGTCCCACTTACGGATAAGGAAACTGAAACTTAGAGGAGTTCCTTAGCCTCTCCAAGACTGTAAGCTAGTATACCAGAAGCTGCAATTTAGTTTGGGTTTTTTCTTTAGTATTGCTGGGATGCAAACACCAGTCCCATGCTGTAGTACTCTTCACACTATCAGATCTCTTGCATGTTCTCCTATGTACTCCTGGTTTCCCCCAGCCTGCTTCTCATGGCACTACCTTATAGTGAAATCTTGTCTTGGACTCCACTCCTCACATCTCTTTCTCCTTCTGTCCCCTCATCTTTGCTCTAGCAGAGACTTTTGCTCATGAAAGCAGACGGATGGAATATGACAGGGGCTGCCTTCCAGATATTTATAAACAAGTTTTTCAAGCTACATCTTGGGGCTTTCCCAAGAAAACCAGTTCTCAATGTCACCTCTGCCCCCACGTTCTCACCATCTGGTGTAGCTGTGGCAATGGAGCCAGCGGCATCGGTGGTGATTATGTAGCTTTCACTCAGGTAGGGAAATCGGTGCCTCAGCTCGTCCATCAGGATCCTAACCGCTTCTTCCTGCTCCCCACCGCTTAGGGATAAGCCCTAGGCCACAGAGGAGGTGAGCAAGTGAGTAGAACCCAAAACCTATCTTCTTTCTCAATCCTCTTCTATCCTGATGTTTGCCTCCTGCCCTCTCCATCTGGCTATACCCTGTTCACCCAGCTCCAGTTCCTCTACTTTATTCAACAACATCTCAGAAGACAAGAACAGCCTGAACTAGAGATGGACAGAAGAAAGGAAGATTCATAAACACCATGTTGAAGTGTGGAAGCTAGCAGTGTTTTTAGCAAAAAATCAAAGGAAAAAAGGCAATTTGAAATACATAGGTTGAACATCTCACTTCTATGTCTTCCCAGACAATGCTATAGCAATTTGGGAGAAAGAGTTGAACTGGAAGTAACAATAGCTAACATTTGGATCAGACTATGCTAACCATTTTGGACTGTGTCAGGTCACTTTACTTTCTCAACAACTCTTAAGGTAGCTACTGCTATCCACATTTTCCAAATGAGGAAATTGAGTGACCTTTTAAGGTAAGTAACCTCTTAAGGATCACAGTGATGTAAAATAGCAAAGCTGGGATTCAGATCAGTCTCAATGGCTCTCCAAGATAGGTGGAAAGTAAAGCTTTGAGAATGGATAAGATTAAGTTTCCACACCAGGACCTGGAAGCCATATCCTCTTACAGTCATCAACTCTTCTAGTCCAAATTTGCCACCTATTTCAGTGCTGCTGGCTTAATTTCTGAGTTTTACCCTAGACTCACCAAGCTCCGAAGGGGTACCAGAGGATCCACCCCTGCTTTCTGTTTGGCCCTGTTCACCATCTCGTTGATTCTCTCCACACATGCGTCTGTCCCGATGAGCTGGCTCCAACAGGGAAGGAGAAGTTATGAAGGCTTGAGGACCTGTATAGCCCCTACTGATTGCTCTCTGAATCCCAGCCACCTTCTCAACAGAGTTAAAGTGATAAAATCAGAAAAAGCCCTCTAGTACCATCAGTATAACTTTCTTACCCAGTGGTTTGTGCACTGTCCATCTGCTTCTGACAGGATCTGCCCATCCTCCGACAGTAAAAGGACCTTGGACCGCGTGCCTCCCCTACAGAACATAAGAGGGCACTTAATTCTGCCCAGGAAAACCTGCAGGTAAGAGCTCAGCTTGTGTAGTCCTTGTTATAGGCAGAGGCCAGTGTAACAGAAGAGACGATTTCTGCAACCCAGTAACTACTCCCAAACCCACCTTTATGGTTTAGTTGTTTGCTGTGCTCTTGAAACTGAAATGTAAGTCACACTTACCTTCCTTTGAAGATATTCTATCTATCCTGTGAGAACCTAATTAACTGTGACCTGGACCTTGAAAACTTTTCTGATACAGGCCCATGTTAGTTAAGCCTTCACGGTGCATCATTGCTATGTAAGGTTCCCCTTTATCATGTGTGTTCAAGCTAGGTATCAGTGGCTCTCCCTTGTAATCTTGGCTACTCAGAAGGCTGAGATCCCAGGACTGTGGTTAAAAACCAGCCTGGTCAGACAAATCTGAGACTCTTAACTACAATTAACCAGCAAAAAAAAAACCTGGAAGTGGAGGCATGACTCAAGTGACAGAGCACTAACCAATGAGCCAAAATGCCCGGGAAAAGTTCAATGTCCTACATTCAACCCCAGTCCTGGTGCTCATGTACACACACATACATACACACACACACACACACACACATACATACACATGCACGCACATTTGGTCGTTTCTGCTTCTTACTAGATTATGATGTTCACTAGCTCAAGCTCCAAGCCACACCATAGCCTGGATGAAGCAATACTTGGGCAATATAGCTAGACAATGGAATATCCCCCTCTGCTCCTCTCACAGTAACTAATGACTGCCTTTCAGCTGCAAGATAGGCTTGTGAGAAATGCTTACCCAATATCAGGGAGAACAGATACATGCTTAAGCCATTAAGTATTTTAATGGTAATGACAGGGGAGACCTGAGAGTTTAGAGAGAGATCTGTGGTGGTGAGCTGTGTCTCCTGATCAGTACTTTTAGGAGTATCTTAAAATTAAGAGAACAAAGATGACCTACTAATCAAAGATGGCATGAGTTTCAAGGGGTGGCAGATTCAACATCCAAAACAATCTCTTGACAAGTTTTTTTAGATGAATATGCCAAGGCTGAATGCAAACATTGAAAAAAAAAAAAAAGATGTAGTGCCATGGATACAGGCTAGAGAGAATCCACTTTAACAACCCATATGAAAGTCAGGAAGATGTGGCTGCCAGGGGAGTGAATCCAATCTTAGACCACCTTTAAATGAAAAGTGCTTTGGCTGAGACAAGAGCTTTCTATTTTGCCCTGATCTGACACAACCAAATTCACATTCTGTCATTGTCAGGAGGCTTGGTAATCAATCATCTTGTTCATCCCTGTCCTCACTTGACATCTGTGGTAACTGAAGCCCCGAGGCTTTGGCAGCAAGATACCTTCTGGCAAGAAAAAGAAAATCTCTGTTCTAGCTTCTACCTCTTTCCCACTCTCCACCATGCAACTTCACACCTGACACCTGTTCCGCAACTCTCCCTGGGACCGGGGATGAGGGAAGGAGCCGCTCCCCCCAGACAGCACCGCAGAGTGGGTAGTTCCTGCAGGGAAAAGGGGCGTGGTCCCGCCACGAAACACAAAGGACCCCCACCCGAGGTGTGCCCGGGAGACTGCGTTCTCCCTGCGCGGCACGCACGGCCGCTCGCGCCGGGGCGCCCCCGCGCGTGCACACACCTCTCCTCCACAAGGCCCAGCAGCCCAGACTGGCCGGACCTGGAGGTGCAAGGCCATCTCACCTCCCGGCCTGACAAGGATCCGCTGCCCCGCCCTCTGGCCTGGGACGCCCTACGCCGCTCGTCCCGGGCTCCTGCCGTCGAGCCGCACTCACCCCTCGACACCCCCGTAGAGCGCAGCCATGCTGCTGCTGCCGCCGCTGCCGCCGTCGGTTCCGCCTGGCGCTTCCCTCCCCACCTCCTGCAGCTTCCCTCCCTCTCAGCCTCCACGGCACCGCCCCGCGTCACGTAAGCGCCCGCCAAGTGCGGTTGGCTCCTGGCGCGCGTGCGCGAGGCGTGGCTCTGAGGCCGAACTCCCCCGCCCTTCTCGGCTAGCCGGGACGGAGAGGACGACTCCTCGGGTGTGTGTGGCCCGCAGCGGTCCCTCCAGCCTTTTCCTTCATCCTATCCTTTGCTTCTGCAGAGGAACACCGAATCCCAAGCGGAGAAGCCACAAGGGCCTCCCGGACCGACTCCCTAGAAATGCTCACTGCCCTGCCCGCCCCTCTGCGCCCGGAAGTTGCTGGCAGCCCCACTTGGACTTGTGGGCCACACCGCCGTTGACGCACGCAGTGACGCACGCCCGACCCCGCCCCTCGGAGCCTCGGGTCCAGAGCCAAGGGTATCTTCTCGGGACCGGGAGCGGCGTGCGGCCAAAGCCACACGAGCTGGCACGCAAGTGCACGGATTTTACGCTGCGCTCCTATTGATAGGTAGGTTAACTAGGGACCTAAGGACAATTCCAGAGTAGGACATGGCCCCTAGGAAACATCGCAACGGAGGAGGATTGCTATTTGCCTCCCCATCACCTAAGCCGCCAGAACCCGGAAGGTGGACGACTGCATGTTCCAAAAGGTCTAAACATTCCCCCCGCGGAATGTGGAGTGTTCCTTCCACCCCCAGCTTCTCCCAGCAACGCTTGAATTTCGCGGGTTGAACAGACCTGCGTGAGGACTGTAGTTTGCAGGTTTGCCGTGACTCACAGGTCTCCTCTGATTGGTCGATTGTCTTATGCCTCATTTACATGAGGTGTGGCTCAGGATTCTGCCACTTGACTGGCGGCTGGCCAGAGACCCTTTGTCTCTTTCGCTTCAACTGTATATCCTTCCTCTCACCTTTGGTTAAGGAAAAGGCCAGTATCATCTCTTGGGGGATCGCTGGGGTTCGTTGGTGCAGTCAGTAAAGGGGATCAACCGCTTATCACTCTTGCTGCTTCTCTTTGCTCTATTTTAAAGGTTCTACATAGAAAACAATGAGTCCTTAGGGGACAAATCAACTCACCTCTGCCTCTGGCCGAGGAAATGTTCCAACTACTTTTTAGTTTCCTTTCTGAGCGATCCCCTTGACATGTGAATGAAGATGTCTCATCTGGAAACTCACCAGGAACTCTGATCAGGGGACTTTCTGGTGTGATCCAAGGAATCTGAGACCGAAGCGAGGCCACCGACTTTCCCATAAAGTGTACAGACACACTTTGGTTGCTTTTCCCATTGAGTCTGGTTGACTGACCAAGCACTTCTGTCCTTTAGTCCTAACTCACCTCCTTAGGGAAGAAGTTCCCTTGACTTAAGGAAGGATTGTATACCACCATCTGATTGTTGCTCTCGGTGCCACCCAGTCCCAGAGGAGGTTCTTATTCTTCCAGTTTAGACAAAAGGAAATCCCTGGGTCTAAATCGTTAGACATTTCCTTCAATGTTCTTTTCATCCAGACACTGACAGAATGCCAAAGGGTAGACTACCACAGATCTGCCCCAACTTCCCTAACTCTGACCTAGAGCCTGACCCACTGGAATTAGTACCCGTTGGACTTACTGCCAGAACTACATCCTGGACTGATAAATCAAATGACCCACTGGAATTAGTACCCGTTGGACTTACTGCCAGAACTACATCCTGGACTGATAAATCAAAAGGATCATAGTGGTCCTGACTATGAAGGCTGGAGAAAATAAGGGCCTAGAGGACACATATGATATCTAGGACAAGGCAAATGGACCAAAGAGATAAGTCCCACCGGAAAGATAGAATCTTGAGGGAATGTATATTTTTTTTAACTCTTTTAAGAAGCCCTATTTCAGGTATAGGCATAACAACTGGATCAGGACATGAAGGAATCAGTAAAGGGTCTCATTGTCACCATTTAGGGAACTCACAAAATATGAGGATGAGTTCTGTGATACTACTGCTCACCTAACCCTCCCAGGTATGGGTGTGAGGTGCTTACACATCCATGAATTCAAATTAGTCAAAGGACACTTTGAACTTACAAGAGATGGAGAAAGTAGTAAAGGGATGGCTTTCTTTTCCTCTGTCTTTTCAGATGGTTACCATCATCTGTGGCCTACATTCTACTGGGGTAACTAGCTATTTCTCTACTTGAGAAACAAGGATTCCTTTGACTGAACCCCTAATATGGCTCTGTACCAGAGTGTGGCCTGAATACTAAACTGGAGGATAGAGAAGTTTGTCCCCTGAAGGAAGCATAAATTATAATACCATCCTACAATTAAACTTATTTTGTCACAGGAGGGGAACTGGTCTGAAATTCTATATGTACAGGCCTTTTTGTCTTAAGGGATAACCCTAGTTTCTGCCGAGAGTATAAACCTGATCTAGCCCTTTTGGCAATAGTGTCTGGCACCCCAGACACCAGACCAAGGATCTCTTCACCTGAAAGAAACCAAAAAGGAGGGAGCATCAAATGGCTACTCCTCCTGAACCTTCATAGCCACACTACCAGAACCCCTGACAGAAATAAAATTAAAGGTACTCCCATATAAACTTGATGTTAATAGGCATAGGTATTAGAAGAAATCTATTCCTTCCTCTTGCCAAGACCCTCAAACAATTGAGAGGGTTCTTTGGCATAACAAAATTCTGCAGGTTATAGATTTGGATATAAGCAGATAACCCCTCCCCTATATCAATTAGTGAAAACTCATGACAGGAGCTTGCTTCCTGGAATGGGCGCCTGACACCTAATAGACATTTACCAAACTTAAATAGGCTGTACTCCATACCACTGTTCTGAGTCTCTTGGTAGGAAAATCCTTTAATCTGTATGTCATTGAAGGAAGGAAAAGGCTCTGGATATGTTTACTCAAGCTGGAGGCCCCACTCAACAATTACTGAGTATCTAAGTAGAGAACTTGATGTATTTGGTAAAGGATGGCCCAGTCTTCAAGCAATAGCAGTAGTAGCCACTCTGAATTCCCAAGCAACTAAATTTAGTCTGAGAGGGGACGTAACAATAGTTATCCCTTACAAAGTGATAGGACTACTTTCCTACAAAAGAGATCTATGGCTCTCAAACAACTGTCTCCTCAAATATCAGGCATTATTTCTAGGACCAGCCATCCAGCTAAATATATGCCCTTCTTTAAGTCCTGCTAGCTTCCTCTCTGAAGCGGGAATAGAAACAGCATAATGGCAAACAGGTGATAAAGGACACTCCTTTGGAGGACCTCAACCTGAACCTCTTCATAGACAGTAGCTCCTTTAGGAAACAGAATCCTTTAGAAATAGGATTCATCATGATTACCTTAGAGGCAGCCACTGAGAGCTCATCCCACCCCTTCTCTCCTCAAATATGCATTTTTGGTTCTTCATGCTCATACTGTCATTTGGAGGGACAGATGTTTTCTGACAGCTAATGGATCCTCTTCCAATACCACAGGAGATTGCTTCCTCCCAAGGTAGAAGTCATACATTGTAAGGGTTGTCAAAAGGGACAGATGAGCCATACACTGTTGACTTACACTTACAATCCTAGTTACTCAGGGGCTTCAGATCTGAGAATAACAATTTAAAGTCAGCAGGACAAACTAATCCAAAAACTCCTCCAATTAACCAGCAAAACACTGAAAGAAGAGGCATGGATCAAATGGTAGAGTATGAGCAAAAAAAGTCCAAGTAAGGGTGCTGGGATTTCAAGCCCCAATACACACACACACATACCTGCACACACACACACGCACACACACACACACCATTTCAGAAGGCAACAAATTATCAAACCTGGCCTAGGAGCCAAGGATTCCCTGATGTCTGAAGCAATAGAAGCCTTCCTAATTTGGGACAATTCCTTCAGGGAGATATGACCCTAATTTACTCCAGCCCAAAAGGAATAGGTTCTTTCATGAAGAGATGTCCCTCACTCCTTGGATGGCTGCAAACAGAAGAAGGAAAGTTATTCACACCAGTACCTAGCCATCAGCACTAGGTCATCAGCACTACATCACTTAGGAAAGGATAAAATATAATAAATAATTCAGAATATTCATGGAGAAAGCAATTTGGAAACCATCAAATAGATTAAATTCACCAGAAAAAAAATCTGCTTCATACGAAAAGTTTTTCCCTGTCATCCAAATTTTGGCAAATAGACTTCACTCACTTGCAAAGGCTAACACCATGCAATATCTCCTAGCATAGGTGGGCACACTTACTTACTAATTGAAATGGAAGCCTTTCCCTGTTGAACTGAAATTACCCCAAAATTTGGATTTCTTAGTAACCTACAAGTGATGATAGTCCCTTCATCAAAGCTGCAGATATCCAAGGAGTGTCCAAGGCATTGGAAAATACAATATCAATTGCATTGTGTTTGGCAGAAACACTCTCCAGAAAGGAAGAATAGACAAAAAATTATCCTCAAGAGATACCTTAGAAAACTCAAGAAACTCATCTCCCTTGCCCACTCTTTTCTCCATAAATTTGCTAAAGATTAGAAACACTGCCAGATCTGCCAGATGCCTGTAATCCTAACTACTCAGGAGGCTGAAATATGAGGATTGAGGTTCAAAGCCAGCTAAGATAGGAAAGTCTGTGAGATTCTTTTTTTGGGGGGGGCGAGGGGGAGGTCCGGTCGTGGGGCCTGAACTCTGGGCCTGGATACTGTCCCTCAACTCTTCAGCTCAAGGCTAGTGCTCTAACACGAGCCACAGCGCAACTTCCGGCTTTTTTCTTTTTGCTTATGTGATTTTGAGGAATCCAACCCAGGGCCTCAGGCATGTAGGGCAAGCGCTCTACCACTTAGCCACCTTCCCAGCCCTGTGAGATTCTTATCTCCTGCTAGCCACCAAAAATAAGGAAGTGGAGCTGTGGCTTGTGTGGTAGAATGATAGCCTTGAATAAAAAAAAAATAGCTAAAAGACAATGTCCAGGCATTGAGTTCGAGCTCTGAAAC